TTAGGATTTGCACCCAGTAACTCCAGCTAGCTTCGCTAGCTTTCGTGATAAAGAAAAGATCCTGGGCATTACAACACCACGGTCCCTTAGAACCTGCAGCGAAGCACGTCGCCTATCTCACACTGATGGACACCGATAGCGGAAGTGTCCAAGGGGCATGCGGTATTGACTGACAAATATATCATCAAGATCGTGAATTATGTCATCAAAAGCGCTTGTGAGCCTGCCATGGTAGCGAATGAAATGAATTGGAGTTGTAGGAGGTGGATTTCGATAATCACGGCGGAAGCTTTCGACGAAGGATTCGGGGAAAAAAATCATTACCTATCTAGTTGGACCCATTAAAGAGAAAGAGGAGAACAGCAAAGTGCAGATGGCCAAGATTCTTTATAAGGAGGAGGAACAGAATCTATTGGTAATTTAGGCTCCTAAAGATATTGCATTACAACGAGGTCTAGTTGCTCTAAGGAACGAACAGATGGCTATAACTAAGTGCTCTATCAAAGAGGAAATATTGTAGACTAAGAATATCCCGAAGGAAGAGATATTTATACGGAAGGACGAATGGATTGAAGCTATCGTCAAGGAAATTAAACCCTGGGAGGAGAAGCTCACGCCTCAAGAAATGGATAGCGATAAATTAGAAATAATTCCTAGAAAGACGATTCATTTATGAAATGCCGCTTGGTAGTTAGCGGCAACTACATCAATGGAATTGGAGCTGGAGGAGGCAACAAACACGACTACTTGCTTGAGGGCCAACCCATGAACTGGTCCACCAATATTTTCCTCATTTTCAGGTGTTCTTAGGATCCACAAACTCTTCGAGAAATTATGGTTAAAATTAATTACCTCCTCGTCCATTTCAAATGGCAGTTGGACCAGAAATAAATTTCTAATCCTCCTTAATGAGCCCCATTCACTACAACATCCTCGGTCGTTGCATAAACACCAACGCACTATTCCTTAATTGGTCCTTTAATTGATTCTTTTATATTTTTATTTTCCTCAGAGTCATCATCAATTAGAGATGTATATTTCAATTCTATATATCCATCTTTTAAGGCAAGAATCTTCTTCTTCTTGCTTTCTTAAATCATATAAAATAGAATATTCAAAAATATTATTCTAATATTCATATCAATTCGCGACCAATTTCGATATATTGCCATTGCCAAAACAAATCATATCTTAATATTGCGAATCGAGAAATTCATCCAAATGATTTAAAAAAACAATAATCATCCAATAAATTAATATTATCAAAATATCGACGAATATTATTTTAAATATATTTTTTAAAATATTAAATTATATTAAATAAATATATTATATAATGTCATTATATATTAATTTTCAAATTATTTTTTATATTAAATATATTCAAATTACAAAATTCAATTCAATTATTTAATTCAATTATAATATTATATATAATTAAACCAATAATAATTTATATTATATATATAATTTTTAATTAATCGAAATTACATATATTTAATCAAATTATATATAATGTGTCTTTAATATATTTTTTCTCAATAATAATTAATAATCAAATATATTAATCTAAACAAAATCTATAATTATATTTAAATCCGAAAATATAATCCATATATTATGTTAAATATATATTTTAGATAATTTTATTCGATCATAAATATATATAAATATTCAAAGAAATCCCATAATAGATATCTATATAAGATATATTTTTAATATTTATATATATATATATTTTTATTTTTTTTTTCATATCAATTTTATTCATCTTCATCTTTCTTTTCTAAATTATTTTCCTGGCATTGATTTATTCATTCCCCAGAAATTCATGATGAATATATAGATTCCCAATATTCAAATGTTGGGGTTTAATCATCCGGGTTTGCAGAAAATCACCCAGCCGCATGTAAACGGAGCATTTGCCAAAAGTCACCCAGCTCACGAAAAGTCACCCACTTTATGTTGAAACACAATGTAAACACTCTACGGAAGTATGTTTGTCAAAATTGCTATACTCGAAGTTTGCAGCGTTTTGGTGACCGAACCCCAATCAGAACGCAAGATTAGCCTGCAAACATAGATGCAGCATGCTGAGGCTACACGAATCTTTTCTACTTGCTCTGACCCGGCTCAAATGGATTTGAATGAGTCGATGGTTCCAACAGTCAGCGGTCTGGCTAGATTGATACAATTTTTTGTCGGAAACATGGCTACACTGGCGCGAGTGCCGTGCGAGTCTTTTCGAAGCTGACGCGAGTGCCGCGCGAGTCGAGGTATCCACCTACCCACGTCGATTATCTTCAAATCACTTTTTGGTCACCTTCCCTCTAACCTGCATGTAAACGCAGCATCCAAACAATGTTGTTGACCACACACTCCTCCAGTTATATTGCCATCTTGCATCTAACCCCATTCTAAACGCAGCATCCAGACGACTTTCTACAAGACCAGACGACTTAACACAGGTACTTGTATTATATGATCGGACTTGATCAGAGGTGAATCGCCCGATCATAATTTCATCCGGTTGAAAACGCAGAATTCATGGATTGATTCATTGTGATCGCCCGTGATGAAACCAGACCGGGCGCACAATTCTGCTGTTGAAAAACAATGAGCAAACGCACTGCAACGCATGGCGAGCCGTTCAAAAGACCAAAACATCACCTTCAAAAAGAGGCCGAGCCAGCAGGATCGGCTGGACTTTCTCACTTTCTCCTGCGGAAGAAGTGTCCGAGTCAGTGAATCGCCCAGCTGGCAAAGTTGTCCCTGGTAGCTGTATAGAGTCTATAAAGGATCCTTGTTTCCGCAGCATCCCCTCAACCTCATCGATTGGCTGGCGCACACGTGTAGCCCAATCTGTCCAGCAAGATGCCATGCGGTGTAGTCCCAGCACTGCATGGCACTGCATGGCGCGCGGCCACCGGATGGGTGCTACCAGCTCCGTCACGGACGCGAGGACGAGTGCTGGGCCGATGATGCGATGTGTGGCCCAGCTTGGCATCCAAGGCACGCTTGGCTTGATGATTTGGGGTCCACTCTGACCATTTTGGATCCATTTGGTGTCGGTTTCACCAGTATCATTTGGCTTTTCTGTTGATTTTCCGCCCTTGACCATGCAACCTCTGCTTTTCGTGTACGTTCCATGCAAAACCCTGGAGGTCCATCACTTCTCCTTTTTCGTCCCAATACATTCCCTCTTTGTATTGGGTACTGCACTGAAAGTTTCGAAGGCTTCCAAAGCGACGAAAGCTCCGATCACCTCCGCCTGCTACGACCGAAAGCTCCTGAGCCGACCATCAGCTCACGTGTGAAGGCCACTGTGCTAAGCCATGGCGAAATCGGCAATGCAGCAAGAATACAGCAGGCATTGTATGGATGTGCAGCAGTCCACAGACATGTTTGCTGGTTTTAGTAGTGAGCCCTGCAAAGCATCGACAATGACCTTGATTTCTGACAAACGCAAGTTTCAGCGTGAGGAAAGCGTGCGGAAAACAAGTTTAATTATTTGTCTAGCAGGTGTGAGCAGGTGAGGAGGGCCTGGAGGGCTGTGGCAAGGTATTTGTTTGTAATTTTAAAGCACAGCGCATGGCGATGTGTATTATGCTGTGGGTTGGTCGGAAGAGCTTGCCTCATTCTAGGATCTTCTGGGAAGCTGACTTCATTGAAAGATCTGAGTATGGCAAACTTTCAAAAGTGGTGGGCCGATAACTGAACGTTGAAGCCCCCCAAGCCCCAACGACCTCCCTCCACTGTGCTCAGACGACCCCCGATCTTCGCACCTTCATGTGTTCCAAGTGACATTCAAACTGCCAGGTGTCCACGATGTCCTCACTGCCCACGAAAATGGACCAAAATAAACGCATGACACTGCCTTGCAATGCTTCGGACCAATGCTTCGGACGATGGTCCATCTGCAAAGAACAAGAGAAGCACAACAACAAATAACAAAGGGGTACCACGTAGGATGCATCCTCTGTCAATCATTGTAGCCATCCTTGGAGGATTAAATAGAACATTTTGGAAGTACAAGCAGCTTCAAAAGGTTGAGAAGGCAAAACATCAGTGAACAAAATGGATCTTCCCTGCTTGCGCATCTTCCGGTCCATTGATTTGACCAGTCTGCGGATTGATCTGCATCAATCCAGTCACAGATGCACAAACAAGGCGTGGCTGATCTTGCTTTATTGAAACGAACGATCACAGTTCTGTTACGACCGCTAAGTTCAGGCTAAGTGCATCAAACAACCTGAAACACTTTGCACTGAACCCCAGTTGTTGACGAGGGAAGCAAAGCGAGGCTGGGGAAGTCCCTAAGGTGACTTGTCCTGACCTCTGTTGATTCCAGTATGGCGTGACTCTAGTCAAAGCATGATAAGACCTTGTACATCCTTGTACCTTGAATCACACTGGCCTGGCCATTTCTCCATCCGCGGGACCAATCGATACGCCGAAACGATCTGCGAAACGTCATGTGTTCCGAACCGAGATCTCTTGTTGGACCGAGATAGCTTGCCTGGAACGGTGCTTCGTGAGCTGACAGCTTCGGTGAGCTTCCGAGCTCATGGATTTGACATGATTTGACCACTGCCAGGGAAGGGGACTAGCTTAGCTGCGCCATGAGCTTGGCCGCAGGTGGTTTTCAATCCATTCCGAATTACGAAGAACAAAATGCGAGACGGATCCAACCTGGAAGACATGGTAATGGAGATTGACTGATTGATGTTAAAATAAATTTGAATTCAGGGTTTGATCCCCCGAGCAAGACAGTGTGTATGTTAATTAAGTGGGGAAGCCTAACCTGGACAATGCGAGATGTTGCCCTTTTGGGGTATAAAAGGTCGGTTGCACACACTGGGAGCAGGGTTCCCCCTGCGGCCCTGGTCCTGCATCTCCTTGGTGCTGTAATGCTCAGCCTGGAGTGCAGTGCCACATGCAACTGTCTTATAATGTCTTATAAACAGAGAGGCCAAACGAACGCAAAAGAAGAGCTGTACCTTTCATCTGGGTGGCCCTGCATGGTGGTAAATCATCTATTGGGTGACCCTGCATGGCGGCAAACAATCTGTGTAGGTTCTTGATTGGGAAGATCATTTCCCCACAACGCTTTAGCTCTCAGGGACTTCGTGTGGCCAATAGATTTTACTGCAAAACTTCAGCCGTTGCAGCCAGCGCTGAGTCCTTGAGGTACAGTGATAACAGGCACGAGCGTACCAAATCGCCGCTTTGAGTGACTTCCATTCAAGGGTTCAAATTCACAATGAAGTACCACATTGACTGGGAACATGCCAATGACGGGAGTCCAATGAATCTCATAGGACTTAGATGGACTTGGAATGTCAAACGGCCAGCAACTGATAGCTTTGTTTGATGGGCATGCTATGGCATGCTCATGCACAGCGAGATCCTTCAACTTCCAACCCCCAATCTGGGTGATCTGAGTGACTTCAAAACTTAAACCCACAAAACCTGGACAAAGGACTCTCACCAAATCAAAACTCAGGAGTCTCCTTATGGCCTTATAGCTCACGTTTGTCCTTCACCGACTTTACCGGTTGTGAATTGTTTGGGTATATCCTATTCCCTGGGCCCAGTGGATGATGATGGTTAGGTCGAAGGCATTCCTCTGAACATAGTGATTGCCTTGTGAAAGCCGACTGCTCTATACAGATAAGCAAACACCCCAATGAGTCGAAACCCATGTTGTCCTTGAAACCCAGTCAGTTCGTATCGCACATTCACCACGGTCCCGGTGACCCTCGTTCCGGGGCCCCGCCGGCGTCCCAGTGACCTCGTGTTCCAGACCGACCTGTGAGCTCCGACCGGTGAAACCAATGAAAGACCTCTCAGTATGTCTGTCAACCGAGGTGCTTCTGAACCACTGCCATTGTGTGACACGCGAATAGACCCACGCGTTGGTCATGTTAACAGTGAACCAGTCCAACACTCGAACAAAAAAAGACGTCCACGTGCCGGTCGGCCGGACCGTGGGTGCACGGGTGTTCGCAGCTCCCCCCGTCCACGTGCCGGTCGGACCGGCCCCCGCACCAAGAGCCGCTTCTTCCTTCCGTCCACCATCTCGACATCGATGGTTGCCGGTGCATCATAACCTGTCTTGACGACGCGAATGAAACCGTCGGTTTACCGGTTTGAAAAGGGACGAATGGGCCGACGATTTTCAGAACTGGTTTAAGGGGGATCATCTAAACTGCTTTAACCCTGGTTTTCACCCGCAAAACTATGGCTTTCCTGCAGATTCTCCCTTAAACCAATTCTGGGATCATACCTTTGGAGTTGTTCGTTGCTGGACCTATTTCAAAGTTGCATGTGAATCTTCAAGGACAAAGCCATAGTCGCCAACAGTACGGCGCCACCTCCCTGCACCATCAAGGTCGGGACGTCACAGGACGTATAGTCTTTGGCCCGTCCTTACTTCTATCTAATTAACTAAGCAAGCGCCTAAGTTAAGTACGGGAGTAAGCTCCTAATGCATGTTTTTTTTTCACGCTCACACTAGTCATTTGGTTCCTAGAGTTCTAGGGAAACTTGGAATCCTTACTTCCTTCTGCCCTTAACCCCCTTAACCACCACCGCAGGCAGCCCAAAAAATATTTGATCGCTTGCGCGAGAAGGGTCCGGAACAAAAAAGAACAACCAACACGCGACACGACCGATCGTCGACAAGCGGGGTAGACGTCCATTCAGCGTTGAACAATCGAAGAAACGGCAAAATCAGATGAAAGAGGTTGTCAGGGTCAGAAACCCTGGGGCATGGCACCTTTTTTGAGGTGTGTTGTCTTGTAAGAAGCATGGTTTTGCATGGTTTTGCCAAGCACAAGCAAGATTCTAGCAAGTCCTAGGTTGTCCGGCAACGTAGCCTGCATTGGATCGAATTTGTTGTGTGTCTGTGCAACTGTCATTCGTCATAGGACCACAAATGGAGACTGACTAACTGGTTCCAAATAGTTCCACCTATGACGTAGGTTGGAATTCCATGGCTGTCTTGCTGTCCTGTTGCCTGTGTTTTTGAGCTCTGGGTGAACTTCTTGCACTTGAACACTTCATGGGAATAGATCCAATCAGTGTCATGATATGTCATGGTGTCATGTGTGTTGAAATTTTAGGCATTGTTAGGCATCCGTTCGGGGCCATTTCTCAAACTCGAGAGGCCACGAGGCTGCGGAGTCCTCGTCCCTGTGACAAGACGAAGCCCGATCCGAGGCCCGAGGCCCTCGGTGTTCAAAACACCAACGACGCCCGCGACGCTCGGACGAAAGCGACGAAACAGCGGCGCTGTGTCTTTTTCGCTCCGTCGCGACGCAATCTCTTTCGTCGACGTGTGAAAGAGAGCGGTTCGCGTGGAAAGAGATGGGAGCATGGAATTCTCTCACAATGCTGACTGCCGAAATCTCAAGCGGTATCTGGGATGACAAGGTAACTGCCAAAGCTACTTCTAGGAGAAGTTGCCAAACAAAGGTGGTCTGTCCCAGGGTTTGTAACTTCGCAGCCCATCTTCCTGCGCCATTTTGGCAGTTCATGCAAGCCGCAGAGCAGGCAACTCTTCTTGCTCTCATGTCCATGTTCAGTCTCCGACTTAGTTCGATCTGCCAAGAAAAAGAGGGCGGAACTAGCTACAGCCGTTGCACAAAGCTCAAGTTGTTGCACTGTTCCGCACAAGTGCAGGTGGCTGGAATCAGTCATTCCATGAAAAGGGTTGTGTTCCAGATCAGCGGCTGGCGCTAGATCCCTCAAGTGTCAACGACCAGTCTTGTCTTTTTTTCAGCTTTGAACTCTAGGTTCAGATTTGAACTTCGTTGGAGTGCCCTAGTGCCCGAGGGGGTTGCACAAAACACGGCGCATGCTTCGTCTGGCACCCCAATCCGACCAAACGTGAAACAGGAATTGACGAGAGTTATTGCCGGATTGATTTGGATCGCATCCCTGGCGAAGATGGTCCGATCAGTCTGGTGTGCACCCAAAGATTCACACGCGTGTGCCCAAGAACAGCACGCGAATAGTTCGTGATTAGTGATTACTGTAGTGAGAATGGTCAACAAATTGCCTTGTACTTAGTAAGGGAAGTAAGTCGGACTGGCCACCAGGTTCCATGTGAATCTTCAGAGGTGTAGATGGGTCCGGAACCAAAAAGCCTGACCAAGAGCTGATACGGACCTCCCTTAAATCTTCCCATGTTCTCCGTCGACCTAGTCATAGTCCGCTGGTCGATCGGACGATGGTACCATCGGATGATCCACTGGGAAGTGTGATTCACAGCAAAGTGGGTACTTAATCGGCAAAGACGTCGAAGGCATGATCGTTTTGATCATTTCTAAATACCGGACCCTTCAGGTCCTTTTCTCGCATCAAAGGAGATAAAAGGTTCCCCGAAAGGAATGCGGCTGTGCCAGCGTCGCAAACGCCTGGAGCTTGCTGCCAGCGCATTCCCCTGTGCAAACGCGGCATGGCGCAAGGGTAGCCTGCACAGCCGAATGACAATATACCTGACTGCAATGAACAATTGACCATGTTGTCAGGACGTAGGAAAAACTTGGTGGACACCTACAGTTTTGGTGGAAACAGGAAAAATGACTATAACTTTATAGACCTCAATTTAAAGATTTGTAGGAGCCTTGACATCATCTCCATTGACTTGTGAACAGAATGTTAAGACATGTTATAAGTACATATAAGTACCACAGGCCTGCTTCATGCAGAAAACCATTGTGAAGGAGGCGTTCTGAAGGTGCCTGTAGCGCTCTCTGCACAGGTAACACTTTTGGATGGCCAATCCTTGAGGACATGTTCAACATCAGCCTTTCTTCCATGGCTGCAAGCAACCATAACCAACGGCAAATGCTCCCAGAGCAGCAGCTGCAGCAGCAGCAGCGCCACTGACAGGTGTTCGCTGGCAATTGCCTTGAATTTACTGATACAGGGTCTCGCCTGGAACAACAGAATATGGCCCATTGGAAGGGACACCAACAAATCTATATTATAGTATAATATAAAACCCTTTGAGCAACATGAGGCTGCAATGTTTAATGGTGTTGACCCATCATTTGCAGCCTTGCTTTCGTCAGCTCCAGCTGCTACCAGCAACCACACAGCTTCCAGATTGTTTCTCTCAGCTGCCAAGTAGAGTGGTGTCGAGCCAAACCAATCTTGTCGGTCCAAATCTGCCCGGGCTTCTAGCAGCAACGATATACATTTCGAACTGCCAGCCCATGCTGCAGTGTGTAGTGCTGTCCAGCCAAAATCGCGTGTGAAGTCTGGAGCTAGTGGTTTCTGTAGCAACCTTTCCACTTCCTCATAGCGATACGTGGCACACGCCATGAGGAGCTTCACGTCGCACTCGTGGGATTGCTCGAAATCCGCGACAAGGAGCTGCACCGTTGAAGGAGGAAGGACCTCCTGGTAGAGGAGACCACACTTCGAACGAAACGAAATTACTTCCGAGTGTCAATCATGGTAGAGGGCAGGAAAACATCCGAACAGAACCCAACAAAAAATACAAAACCACAGCTCGCCACAAATGACTTCATCCAGATCGCCCTTGATTCAACAATGGCTTGCGTTGAGATAAAAATATATTGGGGTCACTACAACCCATTTCTATAGTATTAGTCATGCTCCTGGTTTACTACCCCTGTGGTCTCTAGCATTGGTCGTTTCTGGCATTTGTCATTCGCTATCCTGTGGTTTGTCTTGCTGGTCATCCACGTGGACATGCAACATGGACCCTCGCACTCGACCCATCTTCCTCTACAATCTCTGCAACTTTGACACCTCTCCTGGTCGTCTAACACACGTCCAAGATCTTCTGCAATGCACCTTTGCTGGAACCTTGTAAATCCAATCCTCAGTGGCAGAAATGATCTCTTTCCACCTACGGTCCCAACATAGGAACAGGTACTGTCCAAAAGAAAGGCTATTGCAGCCACGATCTGTACATATCTATACCAGGGTACCTGGTTGGAGCCTGAGACTTATGATGTTATGCAAATCTCATGATTTATGGAGCCCATTTTCACCTTGCTCCACGTCATATGAACTAATTATATCAACTGCTTGATCTCTTGGGGAAAACCAGGTCCGTTGACTCTGGGCCTCCGAGACGCAACAGCTCTCGGTGAATACGAAAGGGAGGCCAGGAAGGCCAAGCAACCAAGAAGCAAATCTCTTCACCACAAACTCGTTCACATGGATTGCCCAAAAAAGGATTGGAGGTCTTTGGAAGCTTAGTTTTTCAGATTGTAAGCTTCTTCTTCAACCAACTATGCCATGCGCCTCTTGAAAGGTGAGCCGCAAAGAAGTAGAGAGGCACTAGCTTGGATGGTAAATTGGGTTGGAGGATGTTGGAGGTAAAAAAATGAGACATGGTAACACCCCACATGCAAACTACTTGTCAGGGCACGCTACTCAAAAGGTTGTGGTTTCTTTGTATCGAGAGATTCATGTGCTGCGACAGTCCAAGGACACCAATACACCGCACGGTAGACTACCTTTCCCAGTACTGCGTGGGTTCCATTGGACACCCCATGCCTTCAGGTCATCCTGATGTTTCGTGATAAGTAGCTAAGTAGCTATACTGCAGTTATTCCTTGACTTTTTGTATTGGATCCTATCGATCAACAACAAGTGTGAATGCAGGACCGCAGAGGTTCTCCATCCAATGCAAACACAACAAGTACATGAATGCACATAATGTGTGAGGTCTCTATCAAAGGTAGGCTATCCTTAGGCGGTGCAACCATTACAGAGGAGAATCTGCTTGGCCAATATCCTCTTGAGCCACTGTACCGACTTGCCCTCCACCTGCTCTGGAGCAAAGGTGGCGACAGTTCGGCCGGAAATCGCCCAAAGGACGCGAAACCTCCGCGGTGTTCGCGCACCGCGGTGGTTCGGTGTCTCGAACCGGCGCCTGGCGCAAGGCTTGAGCCCCAAAGGGCCCAAACGGCCGAGGCAGCTTACTTGAGCTGAGGGCTTTGCCTCCGAGTTTCAGAGACGACAACATTAGCCGTTTGGTTCGACAAGCTGATCAAACACCAGCTGTAGAGATGACAAAGGAAACAACGTTCAACTGACAGCTGAAGTCTGCTGACATTCTCCAATCCCGCGCGTGCTTTGTTCACCAAACGCTCCTTTTTCCAAATGAAACACAACCTTTCCGCGTAACTGGTGTCCAACTTTAAAGTTGAATCAACTAGTTCATTGACGGTAAATTTGTTTTCAAATAGAAGTTATACAACAAAACGATTTGTAATTGGATTCTTGTCAAAAACCTTGTTTATATATACACTCTGTTTCCACGTACATGACGTTCTTCCACGTGGTCGCCAATTAAACAGTCCTTTGATAAAGCTTTGAACATCAACGCTGTCTAATTTCCTCTTGGAACCCCTTGCAGAGCCGTGTTCTAAATCAATTCGTTTGAATGTGTTTCCAATGAACGACGTTTTAAACCAAAATCGAGCTAAGCTGTTGACGCCAAAAAAATACATTTCAGCATATGACCACCTTTTCCAAAACACACGAAAACCCCTTCGTTTCGATTGTGAGCCCTTCGTGCTCTCCGAGCGAGCGAGCGCTACGGACGAAGCAAGGTAACCAACACATTCGCTGGGTGCCCGAACCCAAGAGCTCGAAGCTGGCCTGGACGCTGAGCTTCAAGTGACGAAAGGACATGCGGAGTCCAAAGGAACCAGTGACCAAAGAGGGGGAACAAAGGGCGTGGTCCACGCGTGGTTTGGTTGAAGCAAACAGTTGCACCAGCTGAGATGGATCATATAAACATAAACATATGGCGTATCTATAGAGACAAAAAGCTATATACGGTGGTGTATACAAATCATTGACCATGTCAAATCATTGCAATTCATTGTTATTTATATTCCTATAGACTCTAGACCCTTGGTTCTAAGTGCTGGAGGACACTTGCATCAGCAGTAGTATTAGAACATGGTTCACGAGTTGAAGTGTTGGATTTTGACAACAAGATTCACCAACCAAAAAGATTCCTCATGCAAATGCACCACGGCCTGGTGTCTGGGAAAGGCCTGAGGCTTGATTGATCGACACGGTCTCTGAGTTGCCAACATCCGTATTTCACAGCAAGCGAGTGGTTGCTGGGTAGAGGCATGGGAACCCTACCCTTCAAAATCTTTTGTGGCGACCCGTCCTGCTTGGAGCAGTGGTTGAGCCGATTGGCATTGAACACTCAGGCATGCCAGGCATGACCACAAACACTCTGCCTCATGTTTTGAGAAGTCAAGGGTTCTAGCTTGAGGCGCACACACACACACACATCCCGATCGAATATAGAGCTACTCATGACAAGTATATAAAGGACGAAATAGGTAAACAAATATTTTCTTGTGCCATCTTCAACGATGATTTGTATGGTCCTGATATGTCCTGATGTTTCCGTTCCTGGTCAATGCGCTTTCAACAAATATCTTGTCACCAGTCCACCCATCTACTGGCAGCAGAATGCCCCCCCAACCCACATGAACAGCTTCCTCATCCCCCAAAAACAAAAGCGTCATCTCTTGGGATGATCCTAAGCACTGCCGACCGTGCAAAGTGCCTCCAGGTTTGGAAAGCGCTTCTTGGTCTTCCTGAGCGCCATTGAAATGGCTGTGCATTCTCCTAGGGAGACCCCCAACAAATGTGTTTTGGTCGTCGAGTCTATTCCCTTCTTCCAGGTTTTTTCGGTGGTCTCCCTATTTTAATACACACCCAAATAGCCGAACCAGGTGATTTTGTTTTAAACAGTGAAGATCTATGAAACTGTCACCGTCTGATAAATAAGTCAGCAGGTGGTTTGTTTTCCAAGGCCCCAGTTGTTTGCAGAAATTAATGCCGGTAAACCCGAAACCTTTCAAATGGTCAAAAAGCCGCACAAACAACATAGTAGTAATATCGCCTACTAATATCGCCTATATTATATGATGGGTTGGTTCATGACTTCTTGTGGAATATAATATGTGTACACTGCAGGGGTCAAGAAGTTGGGGTATCCCATATCACCAAACGATGGAAAAGGGACAAATCCATAAGACCCTGTAGCAAAATCTGGTAAAGGATTGTACAGGCAAGTTTTCTTCAGTCTAAAGGTCGGTTTCGCACCAAAGTACCGCCCATGTCCGCCAATCCGAGTCAAGTTGTGCAGTTATCAAATCTGCAAAAAAAAATCGCTTCTATCGGACATACCTTTTTGAATGAATCAAGGATGGTTCAATGTTCCCCGTTCTGCTCATCATTCTCAAGGTGTGATTTCAATAGCAAATCCAAATCTGTAGATGAACATCTTCCCAAACCTCCCCCACTTGTGCCCACACTTTAAAGCCACCAAACGATCCAACAACAAGAACTAGTAGTAGACATATAGTCGCAGTCGAGGTCGTCATAGAAGTAGTGGTGGTGGTGGTGGTCGTAGTAGCAGTAGCAGTAGCAGTAGCAGTAGCAGGAACAGGAACAGGAACAGGAACAACAGCAGCAGCAGCAGCACTCACCCTTTCGAACTCACGAACTGCTGGATGTGCCCAGGCACTCTGCAGTCATGTGCATAATCAGCTGCCTGACTCGCTCTGGATGTGTCAAACTCATCAGGTATCAGGTTGTTCACAGGAATCTGTTGTATGTACAGTGTCTTGGATCTCCAGTCGATGAACATAGCCCGAATGGACTGGAGACATTTAGAGGAAGAGATATATTTATATAATCATGTGAACAGTCCAATGGACTGTGGTGGGCATCAAAAGTGTATGACTCTTGGTCAAAAAATCTCACCCTGAACGTCTCTTCTGCGGCCACTGGTGTAGGGGCATGGGGGGCTCGTCTGCATCTAGCCAATGCAACAGTCCAGGCTTCTCATGGGTCTGTTTGCCCTCTTGCCTCCAACAACATAGTTTAACGGTTCGCCTCATTCTTGGTGGCCTCTCATGTTTCTTCGAACTCCGCCATCAGGCGGGGATGTTTTCAAGCCCACTGCACCCTCTGCTGTCCACGCCTGCAACAGTCTGCAGTCTGTCGATGTCCTTGAGTTTGCTTCCAAAGTCGATCACGGAACCTCCCTGAGCAAACCCATGCGAACGGGACCTCTCTCGCAACACCGCTGTTCGTCGGTGCTGTTGGTCGGATTCGGTGGACCGAGTCGCGGCTTGGGCGGTCTAGTCCTTTCGATCCAGGGAGTGGTGACCAGGCACCTTCTCCTTCAAGAGATTCATGAAAGCGGATCACTTTAGATCGTTCAGATCAGCTTGATGGATCTTCAGATCTTCATAATCAATGTATCACAGGGTCGTACGCAACATGCTGCAAGCATCTCCAAGCTCCAACGCTTCGGTCTGTAGACATGACCGGCTTCGGATTCTTGAAAACTCTTGGACATATCCTTCATCATCCCGGTGTGGCAAGAACGCAAGGGAAAGGAACTGCTGACCGCGAAGTCATGATCGGTGACTCGTCAATGAACTGCTGACCCAGCTGTTCACAAGCTGTGGAAGAGTTACCATATGTGTGGTTTCCAACTATAGAAAAAAAGTTGAATGTGATCAGAAAGAAAGGTATTGCAATAGGTATCCTAATGACATCAATGACGCATAATGACTCCCTCAGAGATCCTGAGAGTATCTCAAAGTAATATGTCATGCCATATGTCCTGATGAAGATTCCTTGAAAACTACTCTGTGACTCATTCTCTTAAATGCCATTTCATTTCATCGGGGTCGTCTCATTTGCACGTTTCATTTCCAATGTCGTTTCGGTTAACATGTCGTCAGTCCGTGGATATGCTCTAAGGAACCGGTGAAAATCACACAACATCTTCCCCATGCCCAGGGAATTCACCCATCCCAAATCACCCGAGCTAGCTTAGCCAAAACCGCGGGCGACTCGGTGTTCGCTCCCACCGATGGCGATTCGCCTGGCCACCTCGGTCCGAGCGCGGCCCGGATGGTAGGCCACATGGATCCTCGCGGCGAGGGCTGGAGGGAGAGGGGCCGTGGTCCAAAAGCCTTTCTTTTCGAAGCCGTTGTTGTTGTTTTACCAAAAGGAAGACACGAAGCATGGAAGAAGCCTCTTGATATGCGTGGGAACTGAGAGGTCCGAATGAAGGTTCTGTCATGAAAGAGTACTTGGTGGCATGTACCAGACCGAAGAATTATTGAAGAACCTTCTTGATATGGGACCTCCTGGCCTTGGCTGGGTAGACTGGTCTATGTTCCTTCCGGGAGGTTGAACTGGGAGGTCTCTCTATGTTAATACACCCACATGGTTCTTCGGTCTGGTTCTTTGGTCTGGCACATGCCACACGTGTTCTTCTTCGTTTGCAGGGTGATGAAGCTCTGTTTGTGGTTGTGAGGGACCCGGGAGTTGCCTTTTGCAGGATTCTTTTGAGGAGGATGCTGCGAGATCCCGCTACGGGGGGAGCCTTTGAAGGAGAAGTACTGGGCAAGGAGTAGCTTCAACTTCAACCTGACGGTGGAGATCTTTTGGACAAGAGAAGCTTGAACTTGACACCGCGGTTGACAAACAACTCTTCCTGAACGTAGTGTTGTATAAGAACAACTCTAAACATATTGTACTTGTTGCGTCGTCCTTGTGTTTTACATTGTTATACCATGTTTACAAAAACTACGAACTAGTTTTGATACTCTATTGGCTTAGTCACTGGTGGGTGCATACTCAGATATGTTTGGAATTCATAGAGGACTTCTGCACTGAGGTCACAAATGTTGGGTAAAAGAAGAACCAGTAACTCTCGTCAAGGTTGGGCCAGTGCGCCAGTGCTGCGTCCTCTTCAAGTAAGCCAGAAAGTCCAAAGGTGGAAACAAAGTGTACCTGGAAAGCACAGGCCGACCGGAGACCGCCGCTGAACACAGGCAGTGGGAATGACTGCGCTGGCGTCGTCCCCACACGACGGACATCGCAGCCCGTTGAAAAAAACCGACATCGCCTAGCGCCTAAGCCGGCAGCAAAGCAAAAATATATGAGTAAACCATGGTCATGTCAGTTATATATAGGGCACCATTGATATCATGTTTCCGACCCAGAATGGCACGCTCTTCAGGACTGACTCTGAACCCAACTGATTACCATACTGCTCAGGACTAGGTGAATGTGCTCGAATTCAGGAACGAACAACAACAGGCTGAATGCAAAAGAGTATGTTTGATGCTCTTCTTGTTGCTACGAAGGGTATTGCATGATCATCCATATAGAGATACATTCAACAACATTGACCATGTTCCGAATTGTCTTTGGAAGTCATACGCTCCGACACACTAACATGGAAGTGGAGGCCACACCCTGTTCGCAGAGGAAAGTGGTCTTCCAAGGGACCATGCCATCCACTTCCATAGAAACATGAGTCGGAGTGTACCTGGTCTTATCGACGAATCGCCCAAGTCATCGCTGCCCCCCTACCGCTCTACCCTCCGTTCTACAACAGGCACTTCATGCCACGGGCGATGAGTCTGGGCCGTGCGAGGCCTCGGGAAGACGGTGAAAAGATATGTGGCAGGTCCAAAGCCAGGTCCAAAACCTGGTCCTGTACTACCGAACATTGAGTCGTGTTTATATGTTTTTAAAACTCCAGTAGGGTGTAATTGCTACATGCCAGTACGTATAATGGCATATATGGTGTATGACATGGTATTGGTACACCTGGTCTCTCCAAAGTAGCCGGAAAATGGCTCAGAACCGTCGAAAAGAAGCGAAGTAGTTGTATTAATTATCTTGTACAGGTAGCACCCATTTCCAAGTGCGCCAGGTGTCTATTGGGTGTCTATTTCCTATCAGGATCCAAGTGTTTGGAGGGTGGCAATATCTCCTACCCGGCAGCGACTTAGTTTTTTCTGCTGGTTCAAGATTCAATTTGGCCATCGACTTGGTTACCATCTTGTATCAGCGACGAAGGTGTTCTATTCCCAAAGCCCCAGTAAGTCCAACCTCTGTTTATTGAACAGACATTACATCAAAGCAGGGCGTGTATGACATGGTGACATTTTGAGGCTTGCAGGGTTACACTCCAGTTTTCAGTAGGATAGCACAAGCTGTGCTCCAGAAAGTGAAGCAAACGAAAACCACTAAATGGATCCAACCAAATCTGGAATCACAACATCCGCTTCCCCATCAGACTATCAGCAGCTGAACAAGGACCCCACCAATTCAAGCCTAAATTCTCTATATCTACGTCATGCGACACGTCTTTCCCGGGCACAACAAAACCGACGCAACTCGCCGGTGCAGTGCAATTCAGTTCTGCGTGCCTTGTACAAGCCCCTGAAACGCCACGCCCTGCAGGAGCCGAACGACACGAACGCGTTGGTCGTGCGCGGTGGCCCGACAACTCAACCCTCCGGCTGGTGTCCCAGCGGCGACTCCTTCTGGCCATTTTGAACAACACTTTGTACCAAGGGGACCTCATGGAAGTCTTTTGAAGGCCTACTGTATAGATGAGATCACCAAAGTCGCCAAGGATTCAGCCGAGATGTTATCCATGCTCCGTTGGATATGGATCTCAGTATCCTTTGCATGGCAGAAACCTGCTTGGCGGAAAGTGTTGCACTTGAACTTGATGTCTTTGCGAAGCTATGCGAAGCCAGAAAGCGAACAAAACACGTTGACGCGTCGACCCCGCCAAAAAGATCCTCGGCTGTCATTTTGAGCCGTGCCCATCTCACAAAGATCCGCCACGGCTGGGTGATAGCAATCACCCAAGACCTGGCATCCCAGGGCCTCTTTTTGAAATAGACCTATACCCATATGGCCTCTTTCAAGTCTGGCATCGAATTCCCAGCACTTCATCCATCAGCCAAGACCCTAGAACTGCGAGAGACGCCCGTGTGAGAGGCACTTCCGGATTCCATACATGATTTGAGAACGGACTTTTGAAGAGTTGCCCAAAAGTCATCAAAGTCCGAGGGTGAGTCCTTTGAAACATCGCACCGACCCCCTCCTTTCCACAAGGAAAAAGCAGCCCAGCCAAGTTTACATGTCTTTTCACTTTGTGATACCTTTGTGTGATTCAATAAATATCCCCATGTCAATTCAGGGTGGTGGGTGGACCCCTGTGATTTCATAGGGGATATTGACATGGAGATCAATAAATTAACAAACAAAGACTTCTGGAGACCGAGCACTTCGACTCCTTCCTCAGAGCCCTCGTCCCCGCAACCCGTGCGTAACTCCGCGGGCCATCCACCGGAGCGGTCGCAGCCTGATGGATCCGCGGCATGGTCCCCAAAGCGAGAAGCGTATGGATCTCAGCGGTGCTTCTATGTTGGAAGTTCGAAGTTAGCAACCAAACGAAAGTTCTTCTGTTGCAAGACTTGGTTGGAGTTCGAGGTTGGGTTTAGAATGTCAGCTGATGAGATGTCTTTTCATGATGCTGCTGTTGGATGCTGCTCAAAGTATTTGGTTGGGCTCATCACCGGGTTCATCTGCATGTGCGTTTGTGCATATTGCACGCTGGAACTGGATCGTGGCAGTGAGTGCGTGTACATCTTCAAACACACCGGCAATTTTGACAGAAAACAGCTTTTTTTGCACCATCCTTCTGTACTCATCAGGTCCTGAGGGATCAAGACCCTCGGCCTTCAGCCTGACATGCGGAAAGTTTACCCAGAAAAATTGGAATCCAACATTCCCGAACAGTGCCAGTGCTCTGCCCCAAAGATGACCTTGAGACATTGGGACGTTGAAAACGGAAAACACAAAGAGTACACGCCGCTGAAGATATGAAGAGCTCCTCTGTAGCTTACCGCAAAAGCAGCTAGTCCAACTCAATCACCAACCTGAGATCCTTACGGCCTCTTTGTTCAGCTTCTGCTTCGACGCTCGGGTCGGAATGCATGCCCCAGGTAGGTGCGGCAACTCCACCAAATTCAGGTCCGGTCTTCCGTAAAACCAGATCCTGTGTTTTATTGAGTATTGTCTTGGGTATATCCTATTCCCTGGGACCTGTGGATGATGATGGTTAGGTCCAAGGCGAAGGCCTTTCTCTAAAATAGTGACCATATGTGAAAATTGTACCGACTGTTACAGGTGATAGGAACGACCCAAAGTATTGTTGTGGTACCATGAATAGTTTGAGGATGGTAATATTTTATTTTGCTAAAGATTCACAAAATGACCGGAGTCACTTGTCCTAAGACCCCTTTGGAGAAACCAAGACTAGTTGAACAGCCACTCTCCAACAAGCATATCATCATAGGACTTAACACCCAGTATGTTTAAATAACCGTCTCTTTGAGGCCCTGCATGACCATGCCATCCACTTCCATGATACCAGTACTGGTAGAGAGCTCAATGAGTTCAATCCGCCTATTGCAATTGGTACAGTCCTTTGACCCTAGCCTGTAACACCGACATCGACCCACCACATCGAATTGTCGTTCCTTCGACCCACCACCTCTCCATCTCCGCCCGCCGTCGATCGATCGATGACGCGCTTCGTTTTGGGCCGCTCGACCGGTGCGTCGATCGATGCGGGCCAACGATGGTTCATCGCCAACTGGATTTGTATTGACAGCTCGAAGCAAAACTATGAATTGACAGCTCGAGGCCGGTGAATCACACTACTATTTTCAAGAATTCCTACATCGCCCCACTTCAACCAACCCTAATCACAAGAAAAAGTCTCATCCCTGCTCAAACCACTGGACTATCGTATCACGAGTCAATGAAGTTCCTCTTCCTTCAACTATCGTATCCCCAGTCAAGTCAATGAAGTTCCCAGTCAAGTCGTATCCCCACCACACATCCAGATCTAGGCGGTGTCCGGAAACTCTTGGTTCACCGCTGAATTCACCACGCGACTGCACGTGGTGTGCTGAGAGACGAGGTCAGAAACAAGCAAGAGTGTGAAAGGATTCTACCAACCAGTAAAGTTGATGACATGCAGTATATTCGAAGTAGGACTTCCATATACATATATATATATATTTATAGAGGTGTGCTTACAAATTCAAACTGAAACAAACACCAAAATGAAACTGGATTTAGTGAAACAGGCCAGGCTAAACTGAATACTCTGTCTACTTCCAATTTCTTCACGCCCACCTCGAACCCCACAACCTTGGCAGTATCAACCCAACAACGCTCCTCCACCTAGGGTTCTGCTGATCCTTGAAATCAACATGGGACCCCTCCTTTTCTTCACCCTATCGAACAGTGATTGATACCAAAATGTGAGCGGACTTTCTTTACAAGTGAAGTGGACTTCTTTTTGGGGGGGCTGCTTGGTGAGTTGTCAACCGATCATCTTCAACAAACTCGCTGTCAATTGTAAAACCATTCCCACGTGAGGATGAGAGTCTACATACTCAGGAATTGGTAAAATAATCTATATAAAATGAGGTTTTATCAGGTTCTCCCGACCCCAATTTAAACAAATCAACAACATTCCCAACGAGGAGGTCTTAACCCCAAAAGGGCGAAAACTGCCTCAAAATCAGTGAGAAACCGGCCTACCACCTACGAAAACCACTGAACATGGAGGCTCTGGCTGATGTTGTTCAACCCCCCGCCCTTCGGATTGCAAAACCTCCTCATATATGGAAGTTTCATTTCTCAAGAGTCTACATTATACTGGATCGTTGTAACCTCCACTGGTCACCATCCAGGTTGCTAGGCGACAAAGATCATATGGTCAGGTTGATCTCCTTGCTCACTCCGTTTTCTGCACACGTGGTGCTGTCCACCGGCTGACCCAGTCTGGCTGGGTGTGCCGGACGTTCGGTGTCAATGTGTGACAATACCTACAATGATGTGCCTATGATCTGGGGACGGTGTACACCTATATATAGCTTATAACTGAGACTTCGCGGACCTGATCACTTGGACTTAGGTTGGAATTCAGGGTGTCTCACACCTACACACCTACGGTGTCCATTAACCGCCCCTTAGGGTCCAAACAACACCCCTTGGGGTCTCCTGGTATATATAACATTACAGAACTAACTGAATTCAACCTGATAATCAAAATCAAAAACAATGAAGGCCTGGAAACGAGTCCATGCTGGCATGGCTTTCCCACACCTTGTGACCTCGCCACCAGCAAAGAATCAGCCAAGCGAGCGATGGCTGCTCTTGGCCACTCGCAGGCTCTGGGTCTTCCTTGGCCATTCTAAATGAGGAACGGTCAAAAACTGATTCCGAAACTTGCAATGGCCGGTGATACATTCCTTACGCAACCTGGGCATGATCACTAAGTACTAGAGGTTCAACATTGTATAAAATGTTCGACAACAGGTCTTGTCTGCGTGGCAGACGACCTTGAACAGATTAAGTGTATACGACCTCGGTCCCCCTACAACCTGGTCAACTGGTCAACCATTGCTTCCTCCGATGCTTGATGACCACCTTTGGGAACCTTGTAGGTCTATAGGAATATCTAAATATAGGGTGCTTTCACTCCAAAATACATTCACTTGTTCAAGACTTCCGGTTGTTTTAGCTACGGGTCACTCGTCTTCATCATCCCCCTGGAGTTCATGGAAGGTCCCAAAGTAGCTGTGTCGTACAATAAACTATCACAAGGGCCACTGACAAGACCATGACATACCGTAATACTCCCACAGTTGGATCCTTCACATGGCCATGGCTATGGCTCAAACATAGGCTCAAACATGTGGGTTTCTGGGTCTTCTTATCATTGGGCCACATGGCATTCATGGGAGACATGTGGCATTCATGGTCATTCTATTGTCCCTTCACACAGGGTGGAACACCCACCTCTCCACCCTGCGACGTCCCTCAACCATGGGTGACGTCCCGTCGACGTCCCGTCCCGTTTTCGTCCTCGTAGGGATCTCGTAGGTATTATGGTCCCATGGTATTTATGGTTTCAATGTCTCCAGGACAAAGGGAACTGAACAGAAATGGTCTTTCAGAGATGCGAAAAAATGAAATGGTGAGTCTGATCGACAGGACCATTTCATTGACTTGAGCTTTCTGATCTTTCTAAGTGCGCGGATGGAAGAACTAGGAGCCAGTCCGTGGCGGGCAGGCATGTCATCTGCACAAGTCAATGAAACACAGCTTGAAACAGCTTGAGAATCCAACAAACACTCGTTCCTCACAACTCCAGCGCCATGTGCCCCAGTGTCAGCACGCTTCATCACGAACTCGACTGACTGCAGCGAAGATCTGTATCAAACAAATCTACAAATGGCAAAACAAGAGTGAACCTCTTATGATACCCCCACACACCTGGTCTTCTCCACGTGGAAGAAACGTCAACCATGCCGAGCCAACAGGTCACTAAGAACGATCATCTCTTCAATGAATCTGGCACTCCTGGACATCTCTGAAGCCTCCACACATGAACGATGGATGTTCCTACAAGGCATCTCCTAAATTGAAAACACACTGTATCCACCCACCAAACGTGGAACACTCTGGTGGTGGCGACTCTAATTCTTGAAGTCGACTCGTCTGCTGTCGGCTGTCTGCGACCCTCCATCGCTGCTGTCTGCGCTGACACTGGCTCCGAAAGTGAGCGCCGTCATCGCAACACGTGGAGAGGCGAGTTGGACGAGGCGTGCGTCCTGTGCCCGGCGCCTTGCGTGTCGCGTGGAGAGATCGTGTCGCCGGCAGTGGATCGTAGGGGAATTTGTGCGGGTATTTATTCCACACCCAAGAGGTAAGGTCAACACCAGCCCAAGATTCGTGGACCAATCAACCTTCAGCATCTGGACCAAACAAAGGAGAACAGAACAAGAACAGAACAAATGAAGGATGTCGTACTGCAGACTGGACAAATCAAGCTGGGGTTGAATATGAACAGTCATAAGTTAAAAAAGCGCTCATTCGGGCAAATTCTAGCTGGGACTGGTGACACAAAAACCAAAAGACAACCAACAAATTGATACAAATTGTACTTCTTCTCCAGGGCCCGGTGTCGGGCTTATTCCATGTTTCAGCACACGTGGTCACCAACTCCGACGAATGCTTCACCATGCTCACCAAGCTGGGCCGCTGCCAACAAAAGGCCGAACACAAAAGAAACACCACTACTCCTAGGAACCATCGAAGTCCACACATTCCCCATCCCAGCCTGCTTTCTGAAGCGGAAGCCTCAGATGCCAAGCACGCTTCGCTTCTTACCACCGATAGCTCTCCCATCACGGTAGACTTAAGGAACAATGCATGCTTCACTGGTCCGAATACTTTAGCTTCATGGTCCGTGCAGTACTTGGCAAGTCTTCACTGTACATCTAGCATTGGAAATTG